TGCTGAAAATACTTTCAGAAGTTTTTTTTTTGTTATTTGAACATTATAAAAAGGATGGTTTTAGGTGGTACTGTATCTAAGGACAGAAGATAAAAAATGAAATAGAAGCTTGTGAACTATCATGTTATAACATAATTCACCATGCCAACCAGATAAAATCCTGGCTCCACACATTTATGTTTAGGAATTTAAACATAAACTTTGGTACTATTACTCATTTTATGTTCCTGTGAACTGACCATCATTTACATGTGTGCCTTTTCACTCATTTTTTTAGTAGTCTTACAACTTTGAGTTAATTATATACTGATTCATTAACATTCTTACCAATTTTTTCTTGTTTCGTAATGGAGTCTTTTACAATTATCTGGATGACTTTAGTATGTGTCTGTGAAGATAGCAGTAGTGAATTTTCGTTAGCAAATGTCCTTGTTATCTATCCTGAGAGAGATAGAAAACTCGTGTATTAAATACCTCTTGATGCTAAGTGTTTTGCAGGGCAGTTTAATCTGCTGTGCCGGCTTTAGCCACCCATGGTACACAAGTGATGTCCCATCAGATGGCCTGAACTACCAGTGGTACATGCATAACCATCTCATTGAGTAGCATGGGATAGTTCCACTGGGTGGTTCAAGCAGTCTAATGGGGTAGTCGTGCCTATATAACCCTATCATGAACACATGAAATGTCTTCTAATCCTCACAAAGATCTTGTGAAAGTGTTATTATCTCCATTTTACAGTTGAGAAAATTGAGACTCAAATAAATTTGGTTCTAACAGGTAATACAACTAAGATTAGAATTTCAACCTCAATCTCTTCATTTAAAGGTCTATATACTGTTTTAGCTTTACTTTTCTATGAATGAAATTCTAATTATGTTTGAATTATATCAGTTGTATAAATGTTTATTAGTCAACAAGCTTGCTCTTGCTCACTCTCTCTCCCTCTCCCTCTCCCCTTTTTTTTGTGGTACTAGGGATTGAACTCAAGGCTTTCTGTGTGCTAGGCAAGTACTCTAGGAATGAACTATATCCTAAAATCTCAACAAGCACTTGAGAATCAGGTCAAGGCCAGAGACCATATATGCATATAGGATATAGTAAGAAATAAGGTATAAGTCCCTGGAATGAGTTCAGACATCAATTATCTGGAGCTGGTTCAAGCTTCCCATTACCTGGAGTTGTCCTTCCTGTGAAGGACACAGTCCCCTTCACAGGTTGTCATTACTTCAGACACTAGTTACAAGTTTTGGGGGTTTCTACCTTCACTTACTACAAAGCATCTTACTATAAATTTGGGAGTGTCTCACTCTCCCTAAATTTTGCTAGCTTGCTAGAATTGATTCATGGCACTTGGTAACGCGCTTTACTTCTGATTATAGTTTTATTGTGAACAATAGACACCAGCCAAATAAAGGAGCTTAAAAAGAGGCATAGAAAGATCACAAATGCAACACTTTGTCTCATCAGGATGTGGTACCCACCCAGAATATCAATTTATATCAGAATATCAGTTTACAACCAGGAAGCTTACTTCAAGTGTCAGGTGTTGAGAGCTTTTATTGAGGTTTCATTATGTATGCTTGATTTGTTGAATTATTGGTCATGAAACATGAGTTTGAACTCAAATCTTCAGCCCTGCAGTCTTTCTTCTTCAGAAGTCTGGGTGACAGCAAGTGATTCCAAACTTTTAATCACATAGTTGGCCTTGCTAGTGTGGCTGTCTCCCATCTTGAAAAGATTTTTTTTTAAAAACAACTATTGATTACCTAGCAGCCAACTATGAGTTACCTTATTGGCATAAGTTTTCAGAGACACTTTATCATTGGGGGAATTCTAAGGATTGAAAGGCTACATTCTAAGAAAGGGTAAAGGCGAGCTAGACTCTTTATACATAATAGTCATCTACTTGCATAGCATAGCAAGTAGATGAAGACAGGTTTTTCACACGTATTATTATAATCTGGTTATGAAAGAGGGTTATGTAATTTCAGAGGAAGTAACTGATCCTTCATGGTAAATTTTATCATGAGTAGAATGACAGGCAAAGTATAGGACCCCCAGATAGGGTTCTCTAGATAGAGAAAACCTATAGATACTATAGTATATTTACTACCAGCCATTTAGGTCCATATGTTCAGATTCATTTGATTGATGCTGATCAAATCGAAGGAGGCTTCTTATATTGACAACAAGAATTACTTAAAGATATACCTGAGGAGATAGAGGGTTCTCATTATCCAAATTACCACTTCCTGTATACACATATGTTAAGTTATTTTATAGACAACAAACAGTGTAGGAAGAGAATACAATGAGATGTCCAGGCTTGTTTCATTCTTTCTTGGACTCGGCCATCTCCTTTCTGTCCATGTGGACATGAATCTGGACTCTGACCTTTTGGTGTCACTATTGGCATATCCTGTTCATTCACCTGAATTGAGGAGCAGTAGGGGTATCAGTTCTTGCCTGAGGCCTGAGAAAATTGGGAGAAGTTGCTTGTCTCTGAAGGAACAATCTGGAGGTAAATAATTCCATTTTGCCATGGCAATTATATAGTGATATTAAAACTATTGTACTATTTTTATTATTTTTTAGATAGAGTCTTGCTATGTAGTTCAAGCTGTCCATGAACTCAGTATCTTGCCATATATTGCACTAATCTTCTTGCCTTAGCCTCCCAAGTGCTGGGATTACAGGCATGAATCACCATGGCTGGCAAGACCATTGTATTTTAGGATAATAGTAAGTACTTTTGAGTACATTGATCATAGGACATATGAAGGGACACAGAGAAAATAAGCAATGAGTTGATGTTATTGATTGCTCAAGAGAAATCAATAACATCTACTCACTGCTTATTGTGTGCTAATATTGTACAAGAGTTTTTTCATATCACTTCATTTAATTCTCACAGTGACGGTTTTGATAGATAGTATTAGTAGATTTTTACAAATGGAAGGCTAAGGCACAAAAAGTTACTTTGAGAGAGCCACCTTTGACTACCTGGGAAGTGATAGAATCAGAATATGAAACATATATTTATCAACTTTTTCCAAAGGTCACTGTAATAGTGTTTCCATTGCACAAAGAAATTGAACCTTATCTTGTAGAAAAGATTTAAGTCTTTTTTGAAGTATGTGGAGAATGATTTGTAACGGTGGAAAAAATTGTTTTCTTATGCTTGATATTGCACTTGGAATAGTCATATAGAGAGTGATTTGAGAGCTAAAAGGAAATGATCCTGCGAGGAGTAGATGGGAGCCTGAGCTGTGCATCGTCAGCTCGATCCAGATTCACGTGTTAGGATGATTCATAACCTGAAGTATCATCTTTCAGAGGATCTGACTTAAGCAAATTCCTTTCTTCCCCTCCTAGTTTTTGGGGTTCCAATTCCAAGTGAGGCACCTGAATTCCCCTTTTTGTTTCCCTAGTTCTGTAAAACTTTTGAGATCTATTCTCCCAAAGCCCTCAGGTTTCTTAGCTGTTCAAACCTCATACAGTTTACGCTCATGAGGGATGTTGCCTCACTGCTGTGCTAACCTTACACATCAGCTCTCTAATAGCTTTAAGATGATTTTTGTGTATGTTTGTTTTTATATAGTTATTATACTGCATGGCTTGTATGACATTTGGGTTGGTCCAAATCGCTGGTATGTTATCTAATAATGGCAGTGCCTTATTTTTTGTTTATTTCTTTTAAAGCAAGCAAACAAATCTGTTTTTTTCTATTTCAAAGAGAACTAAAATGCTAGCTATATCTATTATAGAAACCTGAGAATATGGATGTAATATTAATGACTAACACATTAAATTGAATTGATTACATTTTTTATTTGAAAAAGAAATTATTTCACTGTATGTCATTTGTCAAGTATAATTTGAATGAGGCAGTTGAATTCCTAGTGGTGTCTAAACATAAATAAACTTGGTATAAAGGAATTAAAAATGTAAATTATGTTCTTTTTTCTTTTTTCTTTCTGTATCTTAGGGAAGGGTCTGCAGGGTGTTCAGGGTCTCACTACTATATCGGACTCCTAGTGATTCTCCTGTTTACAGCCTCCCAAGAGCTGGGATTACAGGTGCGCGCCACCACGCCCAGTCTCAGTCCCTGTCTCAGTATGCCCTGGGGGCTGGGCCAGCACAGCATGCCTGGGGATTGAATCCTTGGCCCCTGTTCCTGCTTGCAGGCATTTTAATCGGCTGAGTTATTTGGCCAGCCCTATGTTATTTTTTCATTTGCATCTTCTTTTGTTTCTCCTTTTTTTGTTTACAAATTTAGAGAGAATAGTATGGTTTCACTAAATGAAGACATGTAAGTTTTTTCAAAGAATAGGTACAAGTTACCTACAATGTGTACTTTTTTATGTTTATAATTACCCTGCAACCCAAATTAATGTTTATGTTTGTGTGTGTGCCTATAGACCTAGATGAATAATATTTTCTTTTGGAATAGTTATATATTAGTATAATTTGCATAAATATTCTAAATTTTAAAGAAGCACAAAAAGCATGCATTTTAAAATTACCTTGAAACATTTAGATTTTAGTGTATTGACAGTGTACAAATTTAAAGTTTCATTGTACTCATGTAGTTGGTATGGAGTGTTCACTGGAATTTGCCATCGTTGGGAACAAAGTAAAGTTATAGGGTCAGTTATTTAAAGTAGCATGGTAGCATGGAGTGAAGCTTTATATGTGATTTAAGTAAAAGAACATACTATAGTATTCTGGCAGAATGGGTAATAGGATAAAAAGGAAAAATTGGACATTGTTGTCTAATTGGTGATAAAAGGAGAGTGACATGAGACTAGATATGTGTTGGCAGTGGTAGTAGAATTATCAGGTAGAAAAGGGTAAGGATTGTTTTTAGATTTAGTATTCTACTTATCTTTTTTAATGTTCATGTTTAATGATTGTGATATTTTTGAATATTTTTATGTGATTAACACTCATGTATACATTGGATGTATACAATGTTAAATTTTGCTCTCTTTTAGTGGTTTGATAGTTCCTGAAGTAAGGGGTAATGAAACTGTGCCTGAAGTTGTTACAACATCTGGCTATGCACTGTTACACTTTTTTAGTGATGCTGCATATAATCTAACTGGTTTCAACATTTTCTATTCGTAAGTAGTTTTTAAAAAAAACATCTTGTAATAGAGTTGTATACCTTGATTTAAAAGAATTAACTGGTGGCTTACTATATAAATATCCTATATAATAATGGATTTTTGTAACCTAAAAGTTTATTCTTTGTTTTTATTAATGTTTTATAAATTCAACATGTGTTAAGTTCAAATGTGTTAAATTTCAAAATGTATAAGGTCCATTAAATGCCAAAAAATCTTTAATATACCACAAACTGTTATCTAAGAATTTGTTAATCTAGTTTAAAATCTTAGAATGTTATTTTAGTAAGCTAAGTTTGGATGAAAATTTTTTACAAAATTTAAAATCATTTATTGGCCAACTCTCAAGTAAAACAACATAATTTGTGTAATTTTGCTGATAGCAGCAGGTGCATGGAGTTGCAAAGCTCTTCAGTTGCCTTTCTGTACTCTACGGTATTTTACTTGAATTTGAAGGAGGGGATGGGAACTCAACTTTGGTAGTTCTTTATTTCTGGGACCGTCCTGGATGCTATGTATACATTATAGCGTGTAAGTCCTTTACATCAATTCTGTGAATGGATATGTTTCCCACTTTATAATTAAAAGCTCAGAAATTACAGATTGTGTCTATGCACTGTCCTCTCTAAAATAAAAAAAAAACTAATTTTCATTGAGAATCTATTATGTGTTTGACATTTTATATAAATTTTTATATATGGAAGACTAGCGGTAAAGTGATGTAACCATGGATGTTTTCAGATACTTTCATAGGACTAACCACAGCTAAATTCTGCTCATTAATTTTTTTCCTTTCTTCATGAAGTTGGAAGTTGATAAGTAAATAATTTTTCAACAGGTTTGAAATACTCTGAGTATCTGTGGGTCAGCTATTTATTATAGGATTTTTTTATCTTTTATCTTATTTTTTATCTTATGTATCTAAGTATATATGGGAAGGAGAATAGTATATAGAACAAAATCAGTTGAAGAAGTTTAAATAAAATGTTACAAACTTCCCTTTCTTTAGAAGAGTATGTAGATGGTAGGTTCTTCACAAATTAGGTAACTAAGTTGTATCATTGCTTTTGTTTTCATGTATTCATGAAATTATTTTCTGTAGAATATATATTCAAGACCTTTGTACTTATGTCTTTACAAATGTTTTGCTTAGAAATGTACAGGTCCTGCATATGTTGCATGTGTAGTTCTTGGATGTTTGAAGTTTTGTATAGCAAAATCATTTTACTGAACTAAGACTAATTGCAAATGCATACTAACTGAAGCACATGAAAGTAAAATGATACAGAATTGAGAAATGAAGTGATATTGTAATTGTATTAGTAAGCATATAAGAAGCAGTATACAAATTATAAAATTTACAGCATGTCAACCAGTTTTTTCCCAATTGTCCTGAACTTGAATATATGTGACTTTTATTTTACAGAATCAATTCTTGTCCTAATAATTGCTCTGGTCATGGGAAGTGTACAACTAGTATCTCTGTTCCAAGTCAAGTTTATTGTGAATGTGATAAATACTGGAAGGGTGAAGCTTGTGATATTCCTTACTGTAAAGCTAACTGTGGCAGTCCAGATCATGGTTACTGTGACCTAACAGGAGAAAAACTGTGTGTTTGCAATGACAGTTGGCAAGGTAAGCATGTGGAATAAAATAGTTTTGAAACATTTATTCATATAGCTACTAATTCTACTTTCATTTGTTTCAGTGTGCACACTTATCCCATATGTTTGTTTTCATTTTTAGAATGTTCAAGTTAACAACATGTTAATAATCTTCATTCGTACAAATAGGATGGCATTGTCTTGACCTCATACTATACTGAGGATTAAATGTTTGATTTCAAAATTTTATGTGATGTGAAATCATTATGGTGTTCTGTATTTTTTTGGTAGAATGTATAAAGATTTGATGACATTACTGTATTTAACATGTGGTGCATCCAAATTTGATTTATAGTGGGTAACATAAATATTGTATTACAGAAATGAATGCTTATCTCCAGAGGTACATTATATTAAACATACTCCTTAGGAAAGACTGACCTCTTGTGGCTATTTTAAGGAGCCAAAGACTATTTCAAAAAATGCTTAAAAGGTGAATGTTTTTTAGCTGCTTATTGTAAAAATAAGGTTTTTAGAAAGAATTCTAAGCTATTTTTATAAATATCTACAAAATCAACTTTAGACCTTACTGGAGAATTTTGCTTTACTTAAGCATCTGGGCATAAAAATAATAAATTTTGTCATTGTAGAATTAAACTGATAGGCATGGTTACCAATACACTTATATAACCAGACCTTACTTTTTGCTAATCATATTTACATATTAAAAGGCTTTCTTTTTTCAGTGTATTAATTCTGTTCATTAGAGGGAATTTTGATTCACTAATTAGACTGCCTTAAGGTACCATAAATATGATTAATTAAAACACAATGTAGAAATAGTAGCAGTGCTTCCTAAATAAAAACCAAAGTAATATGCAATTCATGTAGCATATTCATCACTCTTATGGTGACATTTTACAAGCAGTGTTACTAGTTTTGAATACTTTTCTTAGGTAAGTTATTTTTTAGTTTCGTATAAGTTATGGTATTTTAAGTCCAAGTTACATAGTTAAAGAATATTAGATATACTGGCCACACAAAGTTTCAGTGATTTCTTATTAAATTGATTTTGGTTTCTTATCATGATTATGACAGATAAAAATTGCTAAGTGTTCTTTAATTATGGGAATGTATTTATTGGGCTTTAATCATTGCTGACTTTTTCCCCTCTAAAATGTGCTTGAGATTTTTCTCGATTTCAGTCTTGAAACCAAAATAATTTTCTTTTGTATACAGAAAATGGTACACCAATATTAATTTAAACTAAAACCTGAGAAATAGAATGTGTAGCTCATATATATTATGTTTTCAAACTGGTCTTCAAGTACAGTCTCATTTAAATGGTCTTAGAAGCAAAAGAAGAGTATATTGGTACGATTCCCTATAAACATCTCTGTCCTTCTGTTCTTTACTTCTATTAGTCTTTCTTTGAATTATTTTTCTGAGAATTTTGTAATATATACCTAGTTCAAAATACTACCTTTTTCAAGCTTTTTCTTCTTGTTTTCATATTCTGTTATTTTCATCATTAGTGCCTCAAATCATAAAACCTCTTAAACACGATAAATCTGTAAGTAAATGAAAATTGGGAAGCAAAGATTGGGTCTGTTCACTTTGAAAACAAAGTTGTAATCTTAGTCAAAGAAAAAAATGTATATGAAATCAGAATAATGCGAAAGTGCTATATAAATGATGAAATATCAGAATTCAGACTATTTTCATCCTATACTCAAATTTTGTACTACTATTGAATCTTAATAACTAAGGAATTGACCAGTAGATGTGAATACTTTGAAGGTAGGTTTGGTAGAATGCAGTTTTCAAGTCAGTGTGTGATAGTTCACTTGAAATGCAAACCCAGTGCTGCTTCCGAATTTAAGGAATTAAAGCTAAAGGTAAGTAGCATTATGATAAAAAATCATTAAATGGAAATGATGTTTTTATTTCAAATATATAGAGTGGGAGAAATCAATGAAGCCAAATGTCATATATAGTCATGTGCTGCTTAACAGTTCTGGGAAATGTGTTGTTCGGCAGTTTTATACTTTCACAGATTAAAACAGATAAAACATCACTAGGTGATATAATCTTATGGGACTGTGTTTTTGTATGTGGTCTGTTGACAGAAAAGCATTAGATTGTGCATGATAGTAATTGGAATGTACAGTCTATAGTTTTTCTAGTAGTTTCTTTCATTCACCAATATGTACTTAGATTTCTTCCATATCATTTTATGGTTCAATAGCTAGTTTCCTTTTAGAATTGGATAATACTTCACTGTATAGATGTGCCACAATTCATTTATCCATTCACCTGCTGAACAACTTTTTGGTTGCTGCTGCTATTTTTCATTTAATAAAATTTATTTAAGTCACCTGAAAAAAAGGGCAACATGAAAAGCAGTGATTTCTTTTTTATCTGTTTGAGCAAAGCTAGAGGGTTGAAACTCTTGTCTGCTGTACCTTTCCTCTATCCTCCTTGTCCTGTTTAGGACTTGTTTTTAAAATAGTACTTCACACCAAGTCCTTTATGGTGGTCTGAGAAAGTAACAAGGAACCAAGAAAACAATAAACATATATACAGGAATCAAGAAAACAATAAACATTTTTATATACATCTATAAACAAAGCTTTTCAGACTCTGTCCCATTTTTAACTCAATGTAACTTTTTTCCTTTTGGCTTTTATACATTTAACAATTCTTTGACCTTGGGGATTATAAGGAATTTCTGTGATAAGGGAAGTATGAAAAGTTTTATAAAACTTTTAGAAAACAGCTTAAATACTTTCTGTAAGTAAATTATCTATCTGGTTGTTTCTTGCTTACACCAGGGCCAGGCAATGCAGTATGAGTTCTAATATGCATAATAAAGAGAAGCTGACTTCTTCTCTTCAATAAACTGTTGTTTTAATTTGAAAAGGTTTAGTAGTAGATATCATAAGAAAGATTTCTCCTTCATATTCACTATTAGTACTTACCAAATGTACAAATACACTTTGGCTGGTAATATCACTCCTTTCTACAATTAGACCTATGGTACCTTTTGGAATAGTGCTGAAAACTCCAGTTTTCATTTTGTAAACTCCACAAGCCTTGCAGCAAAAGCTGATTTTCTGCAGCCATCAGATCTAAAGCTGGCTTCTACTTTTGGGAGTTGCATGGAAAAGATCTGACCCTGTGTTTGATTGAAATTCTGCCTGGCCAATGGAAACTGTGGGTATCCCTTATTGTTTATCTCTGGGCCTCTGCATGATAGGCCTATTCTCCAGTTTCCCTGATATTGCAAGGTTTGGCCATTTTTGTCAAATTTGGAGTGGTATTCATTAGCCCAGTGTTAAAGCAGTGATTCTTTTCTTTTCTTTTCTTTTCTTTTCTTTTCTTTTCTTTTCTTTTCTTTTCTTTTTTTTTTCTTTCTTTCTTTCTTTCTTTCTTTCTTTCTTTCTTTCTTTCTTTTTTTTTGTATTTTAGGGAAGGGTCTACAGGGTGTTCAGGGTCTCACTACCAGATTGGACTTGTAGTGATCTGCCTGTTTACAGCCTCCCAAGCTGGGATTACAGGCGCGTGACAACATGCCCAGTCTCAGCGCACCCAAGGGGCAAGGCCGGCATGGCAGGCCCAGGGATAGAACCCCAGGCCCCTGTGCTTGCTTGCTAAATCCAGTGAGCTATTTGGCCAGCCCAATACAGTGATTTCTTATTTTTTTGATTTATTTTAGTTTATTCCATGATAAAAATTAATAACCCACAGTGACAGTTCTTGCATAACAGTGCCCAGAAGCAGATATTAAAAATATCAACCTATAGACACAGGATCATCGAGTTGTTACTGAAATGAAATCCGAGCTTGGATTTTAAGAGTTCTATTCTTATCAATAATTAGAAAATAGTATGTATCAACAGATATGTTCCCTAATTGATTTCTTAAACAAGGGCATGATTGAGAGCTTTCTTCTTCTTATTGCTTGTCTATTTGTTTTGTTGTTTTGAGACAGGGTCTTGCTAAGTAGTTTGGGCTCCCTTGAACTCATATTTATAGCCTCATCTCAAACTTCAGGTGATTTTCCTGTCTCAGCCTCCCTGAGTCCTTGGAGTACAGTTGTCACCACCATTCCTGGCTTGAATAAGGACTTTTAAAATGATGTAGCAAACAAAATACTAATAAATTGAACAATAATTTTCAAAGTGAACTCCAAGGTATGGCATTCACCCACACAATCCCTTAGAATAACTCCAGGATTCTCTCTTCCATGTAACTTTCCAGATCTCTGGGGTGTTTGGCTGAAAGCATCAGGAGTAGTTCTGACTTACTTGTGCAGAAAAAGAAATTATTGGAAAGTATAATAGAGACCACTATCACTCATTATTCTTTCTTTCCTTCCGTTTGGAAGTAGAATTCATTGAATTTTAGCACAGCACATGGCCTTATGCTACCTACCAAATCTGCCATCCTACCTTGCAGCTAGTATGGTTATGATACTACTAAATTTAGGTCAGCAGGATATGATGGAAGTGCTGTATGCAAGTATTAGATCACTCACATCTTTTTCACTGGCTGGCAAATGGCAACAACTATATAACCAATAGCACTGGATACTCCCTCTCTAGATTGTTTCCTGAGGGAGAAATTAATTTTTACTTCCTTTTTGCAACTTATTTTTGATGCTTTTAACCTGTTTCTTACCTAATACAAAAGGATATTGAATAGCTCAGAAGTGAGATAGTAGGCCTGGCAAAACCAGTTGTGCAAAAAGGAAGGCAAAAGACTAGTTCCATAGCAAAGATGAAGCTATAGAGAAGTTTGATTAAAATACTCCTGTCACTGCCACTGGACCTCAGGATACAAGTAATGGCATTTTTTTTTCAAATTTTATTTTATTTATTTATT